CGTTATGTAGGTGGGGCCCGATGTTATGTATGGTATGTGATATTTGGGGAACTCATTAAGATTTGTGCTTACGGTTTTGTGGTTTAAATATTTCAGGTACTTCTGGTTCTAAAGAGAATGACCCAACGTAATCACACTGCATCCCCTGGAGTTTATTTCCGCATTACTTGTTTTTGATTCACTTTGATATTTGGGAATACATTTAAACAGTTGTTGGCTTTTGAACAAATGGTTGTATGGTTTTTGGTGGTTGAAAATGAAAATTTTTTCTAGTAATTTTAGGACGTTACATCTAGACTCGACTAAGAATCAAAGAATACATTGTCCTAGCAAGATTTTAAATGTGAATTAAACCATCCATATGCAAAAACGTAAGGCGTGAGATAATTGATTAGCACAACTTGGATATGAAGGATGTGTTGTGTTGCTTTCCTTGTTCATATTAGTTGATAATGTTAGGTGGTTTCCAATCTAGATTGGAAACTATGTTAGCATGGAAAGAAGAGAAGATACTTACAGAGTTTCAATGAATATTAAGTGTGCAGTAAGTTAACATGAAAGAAGACGTGAAGATGATGATACATGGTGCCCAACGACCACCATAAATGAACTAAGTGTGGGAAACTTTAAGGTATCTTATCCTAGTATGGAGGATGACCCACCCTCATAAATTTATCCAAGAGAATATGTGATGGTGAAAAGGGGTGCATTTACAAAGAGTTTGTACCTTTGTGGTATGCCAACCCCAAGCTATTATGGGACTCCCGATCCTATTTTAATTCATAATTGGATACTTGAATAGAACTAGCGTTTAGTGTGTGTGTGTGTCAATGTCATGATGATCAAAGAACTATATTTGTGCTGACAAAACTCTATAATCGAGTATTAACATGTTGTACTATCCTCAAGAAATTGGTTAGCTCATGTGTTTTGAACAATTTGTCATGGGATTAATTTCTTGAAAAACTCAAATAACATTTTTTGCAAATTGGAGGAAATATGAAAACTAGAAAAATAATTCGTTAGTTTAAAAAAAAATAATAAGATAACCATGAAATAGTACAATACATAATTCCTAAATCGCATGAGTTTTGCAATGCAATTAGTACCGGATGAGGAGAATAATGTTAGTCAATATGTCGATGGACTGCCTTATCAAGTCTCTATAAGTGAATCCACTTATCCAGATAAGGCCATGCGAAAGAAGAAGAGTGAAACACGACAAGAAGAATAATAGTGTGTGTAGTAGTTAACTTTCTTTGCTTTTAGAATAATTTTCGATGCAATTGTTTGGTTGTAGAATGTTTTTGGATTCGATCTTGGACAAATTATGAAAATTTATTACTAGGCTGTTACATTTGTGATTCTTGATTCACTGCATGTCATGTGTGTATCTGGACTATAAAAAATATCTCCAACATGTTCATCTTATATATGGAACGTTTTTTGGGTTATCTTACCTCTCCCTCGTTCAACATCGATGAAACCAAGATTGAGATCCATATGCACCAAAAATTCAATACAGATATAAATTCAAACGTTGTTGAAATAGAGATCAAGTTCCATCAAAACAAGTCTTCAACCTTGTGAAAATACATCACTAAATATGAACTTACCTAGAAATTAAACCTTGTTCTCATTTCACATAGATGGAGAGGGAAACGATATGTAAGGAGGTTACATCGACGGTGTTCAAGTGACAATAAAGTATGCCATGTCATAGGAGATCATATAATCGGATAAGATGTATATATATACACACACACACACATCTAATGTATTAATGTATTATTAATATAACTAGGTGTGAAACCCGTGTACTATACGAGTTTATTAAAAATAAAAGTTTAATATCAACGTGTAAACATTAAACAATTTTTGAAAAAGATTAAGTACAGGAGGATTTGTGTATCGATATGTATGATTGAACCAGGAACATAAACCACATGATTGATACCATGGTAAATTGCAATCCATATAAGAAAGTGGTCTTGATTTATTTTGAAAAGAGTTATATTGTTATTGAAATGCGAGAATCAAAGAGGTAATATTAATGATTGTGCCTTAAGTATAGGAAATTAGAGAGAGTAGGAAAGAAATGAATATGGAAGAGTTGATTTAACACATTTAGTAGAATTAATATATATATATATATATATATATATATATATATATATATATATATATATATATAAAATAGGCGTATTAATTAGTGAAATTGATTAATTAATAAAAATGAAAATACCACATAATGGCATGTAGATTTTAAAAAATTTTAAAATCTCGTATAATGACATGTAATAAAAGTTTTGAAGAAATGACATATGTTAAAAATAATTTTAATTTATTAAAATAGACTAGGTGTGAGACCCGTGTATTATACATGTTGATTTAAAAAAAAAATAAACATTAAATTAAAGTATAAACAAAAAATATTTTTTAATGTACAACTTTAAAATAAGAAAGGAAAAAACATATTTATTGCAATTTAATATCATATATATGATATTTAATACTTTACATATATAAGTATATGATTTTAATTTTAAAAAATGAAACAAACCAAAAATTGACAAGTGGATAATATTCATTTAAAAAATACCATAAAATGACAAGTGTCAAAACTCATGAGAGATTGACATGTGACAAAAAACCTTAGAAGATTTTCTATAAAAAAAAAAGCCACATCACATGTTTTTTGTGATGTTTTTAAATAATTAAAGGCATGCTACATAGCTAAATATTTAATATCCCGAAGTCATTTATGACATAAGGTCAAAATGTCTAAGATTGAAAAAAAAAAGTCAAAGAGTAGGTTTTATTATCCAAAAGAAGATATGATTAAATTGAAAAGACAAAATATTATGGCCGATTAATGTTACGTTTGTCATGCAAGAACAAACTTAATTTTTGAGTTTTTGTAGTTTGTGATATCTGAGAAACCAAAAAATAGATTATAAATTAGTTTTTATTAAAAATTTTGTAACTAGCGTTTTAACGTACTTATTAAACTTTTTAAAAATTATAAAAATTATATCATTTATTAACTATAAAAAATCAATATTACACATGTCATTTTATTAATTATGTTTCAATTAATTTATCAGCTACTTTACTAAACATTTTTATTTTCTACCAACTAACAATTTGTTAGTTAGTACAAATATATTCCAAAAAAAAAAAAAATTACTCGAATCATTTCTTGTGCAGGTGCCAAAAAACACGTTCATTCTTTATTTTCAAAAATTAACTTGGACTATCCATGTATAATTTTTTTTCACCCAGGTCATCCATGTGGACATAAAATGACTATTTTTCCCTTAATAATTTCTTTTTTTTAAATTTTTTTTAAAACATTTTTAGATTAAAAAAAATAAAATAAATATCCACATCCCAACCCACCCTCCCCTTTCCCTTTCCTTAGCTTCGTCTCCCTCTTTCTCACCTTGTCATTTTCCTCTTTATCGATCTAACAACCACCATCGTTAAACAACACCACAACTAGTCAACACTAACGCCACCACCGGTAAACATCATGACCGCCATAGCTCGCCACCATCATATCTCTTATTCAGATACTTCCCTTCTAAAAATGTGTTTTAACCCACATCTGTAGCTCGGTTTTCCGACACCAAACGAAGTTAGGGTTTTCAAAATCTAAACCACCCTAGATCTGGACAGACGAATAAGAAAAAGTGACGATCATTTGGGGGAGAGGACGATGAATCCATAGAAACCCTAACTCTGTTACGATGTTGACTACTATCATGTTCGTCAAGTTACAACGCCACCATAGATGAATAAGATGAACAAGAAAGAGCAATTAAAAACTTTTCCTTTAAAAACCCAGATCTGAACCAGAGGTGTTAGGGTTTGCAGATCAAAGCTAGGGTTTGTAGAAAATCATAAGGAAGAAAGGTGGTAGTCCGACGAAGATGGTGACGTTCCGAAGAGGGTTTTTCGGCAAACAATTTTGAGCGAGATAAAGAGAAATTTAACTAACAAGAGATAAGGCATGCAACTTTTAACCAAAAGAGAGACAGTCCGAATTAATTTTTGAAATTAAGAATTGAATGTGCCTTTTGGCACATAAACGATGGACAATTAGTATAATTTACTCTTAAAAAAAGACTTTCAATGTGTTTTATGGTTTTGCCTTCGAAGGGCCCAACGAAATTTGGCCACATATATATATGCTCTATAGTCCTATACTAGTGGTAACTTAAAGTCTTAAGCTAGTAAGTAGTTTTCTCTTATCGGGTATGGATCGACTTATAGATTATGGCTTTATGACTTATCAGGCACAGAAAACTTATGGCTAAGGGGCTCTTTGGCAAAATTTGAATTTTTAAGAGGTCTGAATTTTTAAGACCTGAATATTAACATACTGTTTGGTTGAAACATCTGAATTGTTGTGTTAAATGATAAAAATGACCATTATTTTAGGCTTATGTACTATTTTTTTGTTGAATTCAAAATTTTTGTTTTATAAAATAACTGAACCAACTTCTTGAATAATTATAAAAAAAATATATAGAAACCATACAAAATCCAAATCAAACATAAATTCAAATCAAACGACAAGCAATAAACAATCGGACCATAAATAATAGGGTAAATAGCACAAAAGACACTCAATTTACACTAAAATTCAAATTTGACACTATGTTTTTTTTGTCTCAAATTTGACATTGTGTTTTCAAATTTGTTACAATTGTGACCACTTGACCGGTCAACCAAGTTACATGCTGACGTGGCATGATGACGTGTCAGTTTTGATGACGTGACATACTGACGTGTCAAAATCGAATTTTTTTTCCATAAAAAAACACTAAGTTTTCACTTTTTTTTTCGATTTTGACACTAAGTTTTATCTTTTCTTTCAATTTTGACACTATGTTTTTTTGTTCCAAATCGAATGACAAACAATAAACAATCGAACCATAAATAATAAACAAGAAACTATAAAAACTGAATCAATAATCAATAAACATATAAAATAACAAATGTTAAACCATAAACAATTGAATCAATAAAAAATTTTAGAACGACAAAGATATAATGATAAAAATAGCAACCACTATTTGTAAATCATCAATACCCACATAATAGCAACCAACTTTACCAATGATTCTCAGTAATAGCAACCAACATTTTCTTGCACAAAAAAGAAACACGAAGATTGCTCCATATGTCACCGCAACTGTATGCAATTGTATCCCCAAACAGAAGAAGTTAAACAGGAAACAATGAAAATAAAACAAACCAAAATGAAAGAAAACACAAATTGTACATAAAACATTTAATCTCAACAATTGAATTTGCATTTGGTCTTTTCAAATAAAACATTCAATCTCAACAATTGCATTTGCATTGGCGTTTCAATGGGTACACTTCTGCAACTCCCTTCTTTGATCTCCATAAAAGGTGGTTTTCTTCTTCCGTTTATGAATTACCTCCACCATAGGTGCTGCAATTGCAATTTTGTAAAGGCAGATCAATCAGGGATCTTTGTCCCATTGCCAGCCGTTGCTATTTCCCTGTGAAGATGAGCTTCAGTTGGGTCAATAGCACCACCCCAGCCGACAGAAGAAGATTCAGGACCTTTCACCTACAAAGCCATCCACCATGTATAAGAACTTAATACAACCCTATTAACAACAAAAACAAAAATAAACAGACTTCATACAGATTACAATTTCAGATTTCTTTCACAAAAAATTCAATTTCAGATCGGAGAAGAGAACTGTAAAGAAATTCGGTTTCAGACTCCATACAAATTTCAATCAAAGACTCGTGCTTACAATTTGATTTCAGAAATTAACCCTAGTATAAAGTCGATTTCCGATACACAACCATTACCTGATGATGTTGTCGACAAGTTTGACGGGGCTGGAGACCGGCGGTGGCTAGAGCGATGGTGGAGGGTTGTAGGTCGTCGGAGAGGGTTGGGAGGGAAAAGGAGACCAGTGATGGCAGGAAAGCAGCATGCGGCGGTCGGTGTGCGTGCGACGGTGTCCTGCGAAGACGGCGGTGGTCCTCTGTGAAGTTCGATGGTGTTCATGGCTGAAAAGAGAGAAGAGGAAGACGAGGGTAGGGATGGAAAGAAACGCGTGCATTTTTTTTTTTTTTTTTTTTGTTTTTTTCAGATGTGAGTCGGTCAGACATATTTTTCTAATTAAGATGATAAATTAAGTGCTAACCAAAGGCTTTATAGATTCAGAGGTGCTAACCAAAGGCTCTAAATCTTATAGATTCAGGCTCAGATTTTCATATAACCATAATTTGATAATTTCTATTCATCTATTACTACTGCAAAGTTTAATTATATTTCATTTATGTTTTTTTTTTATATATATACATATAAAACTGAGAGCAAACTCTTTCATCATAAGTTTGAATATGTTTTGTTTATCCTTACAACGTAAAGGAATTTTGAATAATTAATCATCATAATGTGTGATGGAAAATTCTTCACGTGTTCATGGACAATACCATTGACAAATAAACTTAATAAAATCATTCAGGAAGAAAAATCCAAACTGAGTATGCATGTGTCAGTTTCTTTCATGTATCAGAGAAATCCAATTCATTGTTATATTATAAGAATCCATTCGCACATAACAAGAATTGAACATTTCCTTTATACAATACGATGATATATGCCATTAGTTTCGGTTAGGACTTTAAATAGATATCTAAAGTTTTACATATTTATTCATATTCTATTTGATTTGAATGATTGTCAATACTCAAAAAGATTTGATACCCTAAAGTTTTTTTTATTTAATTAATAATTTACTGTGATTTTTATATATATGCATATCAAATATTTTTATATATGAATTGATGTATGGTCGTAAGTTCCAAGTCTATCAATGCCAATTTAGTACTTGAAAAGGCCAAATATGGCCTTTTACAGATAACTTGTGAGTATTAAAAGGTTTATGTAGTTTATAATTTGAATCTCTAAGTGTTTAATGGAAAATTACATAATAATAGTACAATATCTACACCTATTTACTTGGAAAAAACTGCCACCTAATTAGTTTTTGGGATGGAAACATAAGATTCGAACATAAAATCACTGCATTATAAAATGTTAAAATCTTAATTAAGTGATTATCATGAAATCAATATCATGGTGGTTCAAATCTATGAGTTTATTTTGGTATAGTACAAAATAAGTTATAACTTTAAATCAGTAAAAAAGAATATAATTTTTTTGGGATATAATCATATAAAAAGAAATGCTCATTAGAAATTGAGAATTTAATCAAAATAAACCGTGTTTGGAAAATTAACCATTTTGCTTAGAATGAATCATACTGGACTAAGACTATATCACATTAAAAAAAAATTGATAAACAATTAAGTTCAGAACAAAATAAAATTATTGTGGAATTTTAAAAAAATGTCTTAAATCCAATGGATCATTTTACAATTTCGAGAAAATGCTTTGATTTTTTTATCTGCTATCTGACCGAAAGTAATAAAGAAACATAACAAATAGGAAGTAGATACAATAAAATAACTTAAAATTTGACATCTGATTAAAAACGGATAATATTAGAAACTTCAAAATAGTCATTATATATATATATATATATATATATATATATATATATATATATATATATATATATATATA